TAATAATAGGTAAGATCAAGTTTATTCATGGACTTTTTTCAATTGAATAAGCAGTTTTTGGTATAGCTAGAGCACGTGACGTTACCGTATTATGAGTTTATTTTCTATATCTTTATAACAAAGAAATAAAATCATGGCCATTGTAAACGTCTTTGGAAGGATATTAAAATGTTACGTTTACCTTCTTTATATAGCTTATCCGGTTTGGAATTGACTTGGATTGCATCAGTTCATGTATTAACCTCTGAACTAGGCCTATACTTAATTTCGATTCGAAATGTTAACCACTACATTGTATTTGTGTTGCATTTCCAACTTTTGTAATCACCTATATGAGGTTAAAACAAACTTATGTTTGATGTTCTAATTCATTCATCATTCAGTAACAGCAATACGAAGTGAATTTAGTCATCAAATTTTATACCAAATTTGAATTTCTTTTTTCAACACCGATTATACATGTAATAACAGTTCATATAGTTTACATGCCATTTTTTATTTTTCAATGTAGAGTAGCTTTGTATTATTGATTTTGTTCCAGAACTCTTTTAATTAATGTAATGTAATTATGCTGTGTTTGTTCAACTCTTTATATACTATTGTGTATATTCTTGGTTTTGTACACGATATTGCAAATAATCAAAAAATGTCATAGCCGTAGTTTCAAAAGTATTTTATTGTATTAAGACATATGCTATGTTATGAAGTTAGGATTATTATGAAGTAAGCCATCCAAAACCATGTATAGATGATTCATAGTTTGGGCTGTGCATTCACTCCGTTGTGTAGTTTAAGTAAGCACTTGGTAGTGTCACTGTTTCTTTCACATTACATTGCATTAGGTCGATAGGCATATTCCGAATATATTCCCATTGTAGTTATCGTGTACCAACATTCGCTTTAGCGCATTAAAATATATAGCGAAAGCAGAATGACGTCTGTATCAGTCCTGATAAATATACTTTCGTATACTATTAGATAGTGATTCAAGTCTAAATGGAAACCGGCGGCGGAACTTCAGGGCAGTACTGGTATCCAATACTCCAGGCAATTTAATTCGCCTTTCCAATGACTTCATTGAGAAACTTTGGGAATGTCTTCCAATATCATTTTAAAGTAGGCTTTTATCAAACATCCAAATCGTGTTATGTATAGCATCGCGGTGCCACTGAGACACATTTCACGAGTACCCAAGAGTGGTAGCTGTGGCCGAGTGTGTTTAAGTTATGTTACTACAAATTTAAATATGGTATGATCATAAACCAGTGCAAATTTGTTGATGTGAAAACAAAACCTGAGAACAAAAACTATCCATCCTCCCGAGAAGATATTATTTTCTTTTCTTTCGTTTTGTATACTGATCTTTTTGCATCAGGTTGTTTTTTCATTTAGAGATTCTCACCTCAGCGAAAATAATGATGGCTAACTTAGGCCTAACGTTGAAATGTTCAACCTGTATTATTAAATATTACAGCGCTGTGAAAAGGGGATCAGGCAAGTAACCTCATAGCAGGGCATGCACATGCAATGGTCAATTTTATGATGACAAGAAAGTTTATTTTAATCAGAACTAAAGGTATCGCTACACTAAAAAAGAGATAAGAATTAGAACAATTTTTAAAAACCCATAATTATCTTAATTATTTGTCCTTGTTGATAAGTTTAAGTCATGTGTCATTTAGTGGATTTTTCAATTTATGATAATGTTTTGCTTATATTTCTTTTTTCCTAAAATGCTTTGATCACTTATGAACATTCAATATTGTAAAATTACAAATAAGTTTCAATCTCTTTGTTATATTGCGTATTTCATTTGATATTAATTCTATATAAGCATTATCATCTTTTGATTAAATTATGGAATTGGTTGCAGTTGGGGTGTTTTTTTATGGATAAATACATTTCTGAGTGGTTGCCAAATAAATCTGTCTACGCAGTGATTTATTTAATTGTGATTTTCTACCCAATGTTTGATGCAAACAGTTCTGTGTTATTCTTTATTATATATCCAGGCCACTTGCGAAAGAATAGAACATTGGATTAAAGGGAAATCCAACCTTGATAGCAAACTAATTTAAGGGAAAGCAGAAAACTCTGAGAAGTGACTAGTGAAAGTTTGAAAGAGATCAGACAAAGAGTGAGAAAGTTATTATTATTTTTTGAAAGTTGTAACGACTATACCGCGTGAGTAAAAAAAATTTACACCTAGAAATTTGCTAATTATTTTAAAACTCATCTATGAACAGTAAATTATTATACATCTCATGAAAGAGTGTTTTATCCCAAATCGACTTGCGCCAAAGTGATGCATACAGCATCACTTATGATTAGCGGAGTGAGAAAATGAATTGAATGTATCAAATGAGCTGCATTGCATATGCTTTTTGCAGAAGCAAAGTCACACACGCACACACACACGCGCACAAATGTTCGTTGATACTTGATATTCGATATGTGTGGCATGATTAATTTTGTTAGTGATGTTATTTGGATGTGCAAAAACCGATTTAATACAACGTCGATCTGGCGCTGCTCAGTAGCTGTCGGGCTCACGATCAATTTGGCAAAAATAATTTCCGTTTCGGTTTAATACAATTTGGAGTGGACTTTAAAGGATTATTATTATTATTATTATTAAATCCCAATTGTTTTATCTAAACATCACATAAGCAACTTTGGCGCAAGTCGATTTTTGCACTCTCGCAAACAATGCCTCCTGTTCATCCAAGCGTGAATACGTAATGCACAAAAATGATACCAAATGATTTGCGATAAAACACTTTTTCATAAGCTGTATAATATTTTACTGTTCATAAAGGATTTTAAAAATAATTAGCAATTGTCTAGGTGTAAAACTTTTTTTTTACTCACACTGTATAGGTACGTGCTCTTCAACTTGACTGAATCGGTAATGTCTCTGTGATGTAGTGGCGGACAACTTTCCTATTTGTTCCAATACACAAAATGACTAAGATTTCAATAATCAGAAATGTTTGACTTATGATTGTATTTTCTTTTTAGAGGACCTGTGATAATATACTCTTCATAATATATGTTAGACAGTGCCCCAATGGTTAAGGCACTTTGGAGAAAGACACAAATTTGTGATATTTTGTACACGAAAAAATGGGATACTAATCCGTCACTACGTCACAGTCTACTAACAATATTGCCAATTTGAGATTCGGTTAGCTGTAGTGATCTTATATTTTAACATTCATTACTTCCTTCTTCGTTCACAACAATTATTTTATTACAAGGGCTAGATTGCCCTTTATTGATTACTATCATCCTAAAATTCATGATAATAAACTTTTCAGTTAGGTATATATTTTAGGCCGAAATTTATCAGTCTTAAAGGTATAGGCCAGTTTTGGAAGGTATAGACCGTTTACAGGAACAAGAGTTAGGTAGGATGGCCTTCACTACGAAATGCAGGCTAGCAGGTTCAAAGGAAAATGATATAATTAGATTTCTTTTCGCTGAATAATGTTCAAATGGGTCTGTAAATACGCAAAAAAGGGAAGGAGATGCCCGAGAATGACACTACATAGAAGAATACTATCACAAAGAAGAGCTATGGCTGTATATGACAAAAGTATGAAAACCTTCAAAATCGGAGTGCTACACTTTTCTGGCAACATATTGTCTGGATAATCCTGAGGAAAGGAGCATTATTAAAGGGAGAGGGTCGTCAGTGTCCATGTGCAGAAGCCCATAATCTGCTGATACCAGACTTGCTGAATATGCCATTAATGAGTGCATTTAGAGATTCTTTAGGTGAAGATAATGACTTTGCCATTCGGGGCCATGGGTGGGAAATGCAAACAAAATGCATGAGGCCTGTTGGATATTAAAATTAAGGCTAATTGTGTAGAATTCCCCCATCAGAGCCCCGTATCATGTGTTTTTAAACTCCGAAGTATTTCAAATAAAGCAATCTCGAGTATTATAATTTCTTAAACGTAGCCAAAAACATTCTCACCTGTTTCACATGATTTAATAGAGGATTTGTTAAATTGTAAATTCTAACATGGCAGTCATATAGCCCAGTTGCCTAGCAATATTATTTTATTATATATTGTAAAACGAGTCAAGGTGTTCAATGTGAGTGTTTAAATAATACTTTTATATTTTTAATAATAAGGCGAAAAATTACTTCCAGACCATTTTTTAGGGGGCACATGTTTGTTTGAAAGCTATTTGGTGTGTTTTGGGGGGAGTTTTACCCCCTCTTCCTGATTTACAATTATGTCAGTTATTGTATTTTTGTAACGTAGAGCCATATATGTATATAGCCATAATAGCTCTTCTTTCTCCATAAATTTTAGATATGGAACTCACGGGGTAAAATATTCTCAATTTTCAGGAGCTGTCTTTTAAACACCCCATCTCGAAGGATTTTGTTGTAAGTTGTTGGTTATTTGAAATATCCAGTCCTCCTACTGACAGAGGTGGTTGCGTGGGCTAGATGGAATCACCTGACCCGACTTTGGGTCTGCGTTGTCATACCTTTCTTTGCTAGATGCTACAGGCCTCTAATATATTGGTCCAGACAGTATATGAGATTCTGTTATATTCGCCACATAGAAACACGGGTGTCAATGCATGCATAACGTTCTGATACGATTGCACAGTGAGAGTTGGCAATGCTTTTCGAATTTCGATCAAATGCACCTCACTTCTGGAATCATCTGCTCCAGAATTTGTCCGTACAGCACCCACACTAGACACCTTTAAGAAACGATTGAAGACTCATTTATTTAAGTGATTTACCCCCACCTTTGTACCATGACTGGCGATGTGAGAGCCCTATATGAATGAATAATATTATTATTAGACGGGGCCTCTACTAAATGTTCCGTCCAAGGAATAAAGAGTTTCCCCCGAATCCCAGCCTGCATCGAGAACAGAGGGGATGGGTCTCGCTTACACACAACGAGAAACATTTTTCGTCTGCTCTAATCATGCACATCAATAAAATAAATCACAATACACAATTGACTATTGCCCATGCTTTATTTGTATCGTTTGAAGTCCAAGCAATGTGAGAAAAATAAATCATAATGAAGGCTTGTTCAGATATGGCGCTGTAAAAGGACTTGCGTGTATTTACTGAGCTTTATATTATAAGATTCAGAAAATGGGGAGCGTATTACAGTTAACATCCACACACACACACACACACACACACACACGCATACACAAAAAATCCGCAGTTTTGCCTCGCCATATCGGAACGAACCTTTATAGATACAACGATTCACTGATCATACAAAGTAGACATATAATTGAATTTGGCTAATTGGAAGACTAACAGTATTTATTCTATAGAGGCAGGGGAATAGCGTGTATCCAGCCATTGAGGGGGCACAGAGTTAATGATCTGGGGGGGGGGCGGGGAGATCCGAATAGTTTGATGTTAAAGATGTCAGATAATGATAATGTCAGATGGATTGGGGTAGATTGTAGTTTTATGTGCACATTCACCTCTTCCCTTTTGTATGTGTTCGGGTATTTCACCAAAAATAAAACTACTCTTTTACCTTAGGATTTAACGTAAAAGATTCATGAAATAGCACTAACTACCATGATCTATGAATATGTGTCCTTTTTAACGCTGTCTACAATAATTCTTAAAATATTGCGGGTAATCTTCTTCAAATTACTGTTCGAAATCGCCTGTCTATTTTACTCAAGTATTATAAGAGAATATAAAATACTGTTACATTTTACAATTCCACTTTGGCCTGTTCGTCAGACGGAAATCCATTATCCTTGATGATTTGGGTGTAGGTGAGCGCCGAATTCTTGGCGCGTCGAGTACGCGCAGGATCGTTGAAATCAACGTGGTACAAACCGAAGCGTTCGCTGACTCCAGAAGCCCATTCAAAGTTGTCGAGCAAAGTCCAAGCGAAATACCCCTGCAGGTTGACACCATCAATTTTGGAAGCTGAGGAAAATATTTAGACTTTATGGTAAAATAGTACTCACGAAATAGTACATGCAGTCAATTTTTACAATAAAATTATAGCAATACAAAGACACGAGAGCTACCGCATGGCGAATAAGGAAAAAAAGCAATTAAGAGTATGACAGCCTTTTGACAGGCATATTTTGTTATATTATCTCCGTTTGAGAATTGACAGCTCGGTTGCGTTTTGATAAAGCAAATATTGACTGCTTATTGTTCAGGTCTCGGTGATCGATCTCCAGACTGTAGTATGCTCATCAACTTTGTCACATGACACAGTAAAGTTTCGAAATCACCTCAGGCAAAAGTTTTAACCTTGCCCCACAAAGCAGTTAATATGTGTTTACTAACACTACTACTATCATTATTATCATCGATATTCAATATGTATATCTTATTCTGAAGTATTATATGATACTCATGTTTACACGTATTCAAATATGTTATTCAGAGATTAATTTCCAATAAAATGGCCCGTCGGAGGGTTCAAAAACAATAGTGAAAAAAAATATTATTATTATTGTTATTCTAACGTTTGTATTATTATTATCACTGTCATTTTTATCATCATATCATACAAATAAAATTCTTGTTTACCTTTGAGAGCTTCATTGATATACGATCGGTAGTACTTGGTTCTCAATTCATCATCCAGGTTCAGGGCCCCGTCTGGCTCAGATACACCGTTCTCTGTGACGTAGATGGGTACGTCACCATAGTTATTCTTGATCCAATTTAGAAGACGACGGAAACCCCATGGAACAACCTGAATATTGAAGGGAAACAATTCGAATTTTTTTTTTTTACGAAATTAGAAGAAATTATAAAACTTGAATAATACTATTGCGAAGTATGTGTTAATCCCCTGTCTCCTAAACACGCCACTCCGTCACATTGGCAGAGATTATTCTAAAATTAGAACTTCTCCATGTTTAAGAAATGTGTGGATATTTGGGGATCATTTTTTCATTTTGTACAAGTGCTATCTATAAAGTGGTCCGGGCTTTATTTTGTCAAAAATAAAGGGTTAGGGAAAGGATAAGGTTGGCCTTTATAGTGGGACTAGGGTGGAAGTTAGAGATACGATTAGTGTTGGAAGCTGACAAGAAGCAAGTGTCGCAATTGTCGTACCAACGTCCCATTCAAACAGTAATTGAAAATATGAAGTTTAACTAAACAAGTTCCAAAGATCACAAAAGCAGTCTTGTATCTGATGTCGGTCATTCAACATCATCACTATAATTTATAGTCATTATCATTTCATTAAAGCCAGCAATTAACCTCCCACGAAGGGTTGCTGAATATCGCTCCACGATGACACTCCCTTCTTCTTCATCCACTTCGTTTTGCATCTTAAGCATCCTCCTCATTTAGACCAACATCACTGCTTTCTTTCTTCACCATATCTTTCCATGAAATCTTTGGCCTTCATTTCCATCTAATGTCATCCACTTCCAGATCCCACGTTCATTTCACAGTTTCATCTTCCCATTCCAATCCGCGTCTTTTTACCAATTCCACCATAACTCCTTCCAGACACAACATTTTAATGAGCTTACCTGTGTTCTTTCGTTCATTATTCCTAAGTATCATTTGAGGGGTCCACAGTTGTACAAGCATTGCTTTAGTTGACCCCTCTGTTTTCAAAATGTATTCCTAAATTGTTGTAAATGTATATAATTGATTTGTAAAGTTTTTGAAACATAAATAAGTTGAATTTAATTATCTTCATTAGTTTAAAGATATCAATATATAAAAGGCATAGGCCTACCTTTAGCCATTCAGAGGCAGCTTGTGGCCAGACCGGATCGGAGCTGAATTCCGCCTGGAAATCATCATACACGGTAGGTATGGGGTTGAATTCAGGTTTCTTGTAGGCAACAAATCTACATGGTGACAAGAACATGCAACATCTTCAACCGACTTTTTTCAGAACAAAAAACTGTTAAACCAGTAAGTGATTTAGCTTGACGGCTTCCCTCAGGCTTTTTCCTAATATCTCAGTCACAACATCAAACTGACTCAGGGCCGTCTTGACTACATATACAAGCAGAACAAATATTGACATTTTTTTAGACCCTTCGTTCGAGTTTAAATTTTCCCAGAAAATACTAGTGTTCGGCTGGTGCCACCCCCCCCCCCCCCACAAACATAGCACCCCCAGGCACATATTAACTGGTTACCTTGTTGAGTAGTGGGTGATTCTCTCTCTCTCTCTCTCTCTCTCCCTCCCTATCTTTTTCCATCCCACTTGGGCATGCACAACTGACTGGTTACCTTGTCGAGTAGGGGTTGAGACTCTCTCTCTCTCTCTGTCTGTCTGTCTCTATAATAAACCACCCTATATCTTTATGAGTAGTGGTTGGGTCTCTCTCTCCCTCCTTATCTCTTTCCATCCCACTTGGGCATGCATAACTGACTAGTTAGACTTACCTTGTTGAGTAGTGGTTGAGACCAAAGAAGTCGGCTGTACCCTTGATGAGCTGCTGCTCTTCAGGAGTGAATGAAGGCATACGGGTCACAGTAAGACCTTGAGCACGACTCATGTTCCCTACCACAGCCTTGACGAGCTCCGGATAGTCTCCTACAACCAAATTTCAAATCATATATTTCAAATTCAAAATCCAAATACAAATCCGAATATAGTTGAAAAAAGAGACACGATACACAATAAGACAATGGGCATGACTCAGTATCCCTACTATACAACCTTGATGTGCTCCGTATAGTCTCCTACAACCAAATTCAAATTCAAATTTAAATTCAAATTCAATTTAAATTCAAATTCAGATTCAATTCAAATTCAAATTCAAATTCAATTTTACTTGAGTGGTATTTGAATTGAACTTCATAATTTAATTCAAATTCAAATTTCAAACCCAAATCCAAATCCAAATATATTTGAACAAAAGAAGAGAACGCGACATAGAGCTTGAGCGTGACCTCAATTACGTTCTCTTCTACATACTTGATGAGCTCCGGACAGTCTCCTACAACCGAATTCGAATTTTAAATTAAATTCAAATTTGAAATGTTTAATGTTCAAATTCAAATTCCGATTTCAATTCAAATTCAAATTTAAACTCAAATTCAAATTCAAATTCAAATTCGAATTTAAATGTCAGATTCTAATTCAAATGTTATATTAAAAAAAATATTTCGAATTCAAGTTCAAAATTCAACGAATTATACATGGCTCGTCTCTAATATTATGTTACCTGTTTAGTTATGATGCAAACATATTAGTGTATGTTGCTGGGTTGAAACGTTTGCGATCAGCTTAAAAAAATGGCACCTGGCCGAAGTAATAAATCCGATAACCGGGGAAATAATAGGAATAACTACTTTGTAAAGCGCTTAGAAATATAACTACATGTATTATTACTAGCAGCTTTTGTTATATGTATCATAATCGTCATTACTAGTTTCATTATCATTATCATAATGATCCGGTCCTCCCCCAACCCCGCCCTTGTGATGCCGATGCCCCATTCTAAACCCATACGTTTTGTGATACAAACCGTTTCCAAAGATGGGATTCGCCATGGAGCCGAGTTCAAACAGCCTCATCCTCTCCGCCGCCTCAACATCGGCCTGATTCTCTGGGTCGGCCGGCTCTGACCAGAACGAGTTGAAGACGATGGAAATTTTCCCGCCCTGTGTTGCGCGGTACTTCTGATCGTACGTATGCCACGCACGCGCATGTGCCTTCAGCATGGTGTGTACGACGCGGTAGGTTCCGTAGCCCGGGCGCGTCTTTCCCGGTGCGAATATGCCTGCCTCGTACCCCTGGATAGCGATCACTTTGGGCTCGTTGATTGTAAACCAAATCTTCACCTAAAGACATATTTGTTAAAACACACACACAAAGAAAAGTAATAACAGTAATGGAAAGTGGTTATATCGCATAAGAATTCGAACAATTATGTACGCGCTTTACTTTAAAAAAAAAATCATTGACATACATTGTATCAGTACATACATTAGAATACACCACGGGTGGCCAACCTGCGGCCCGCGAGGTTTTCTGGTGCGGCCCGCGAAGCATTGTTAAAGTAATTATAAAAATAGCTCATTTAATGTAATGCGGCCCGCATATCAGCGATGAAATGGGGTAAAACATGTAGACACAGCTATCTCTATTTCCATAATTTGTTTTCATCATTCACAACATATTGACTCGTTACTTGGTTGATACAAAACTCCTCAAATTTCCTCTCATTACATTACATTAACGACATTAACATCATTCGCCGTGTTATAGGGTTAATTTCAGTTTGTAATTTCCGCACGCAGTAACGTTTGAGCATTTTGTGAACAAATGGTGTGAATCGAGAAATGTGTTTGAAATGCCATACTTGTCTTGAAACTTACAACCCTTTTCTCCCGAATTTTCTCATGAATCTTAATTGTAAACTGGATAGTCCCCTTCCCTCTCCCGCCCCCCCCCCCCCCACTCAGTGTTATTTAGGGTACGCATATTATGCTCGTTCCCTCTTTTTGAAAGCACCCCCTATCCGAGGACTGCCAACATTTCCGAACCCCCCTTTCGCGGGCTTTTCGCGGGCTTTTCCTGCCTTAGAGACCCCCCTAAATCAGGAAAAAATGCTCTATATACCCCCCTAAATTCGGAATAATTTCTCAGGAGTCCAAAGAGATGAGAGAAAAAACGAGAAAAAAAAACCCTTTTTAAAGAAATCTCCGGGTGAAAAGTCAAATACACCCCTTTTTTTACAATTCTCGGGCCGGACTTTGTCGCACGAAAAGTACCCCTTTACCGGACATTTTGGCAACACGCATGCGGTTATTCCGACCCCTGAGTGGGGGGGGGGGGGGCGGGTTCCCTCTACACCGCGTTCAATGAGATGTACAGTGTACAACTAATAAAGTTAGGATATTCTTTCTGCTGTGTCCTTGATTTTGTATGAAATAACAACTACTATGGCATCGACTTCGAGATCTGCGAAGAAAAGAAAGATTTGAATGAAGGAAGATTGGTCTCTGAAGTATTTCTTCATAGAAGAGAAAGGTAAACCACTTCGCCTCACTTGTCACCAGAGTATGCAATGAAGGTTAACAACATAGCAGAAAAGTGCAAGCCCCAGCCAGGAGTCACACTAAAAAAGTTAACCTGATTTTTCACACTGATTTTGTTGTTTGCTTGGTTTTGGGGGAAAATTGGAGGTGTGTACACGTATTGCATGGTGTGTGTGTGTGGGAGGGGGGGGGAGACCACCTACGGCCCGCCAAGTTATGCCAATTGTTAGATGTGGCCCGCGAGCTTTAAAAGGTTGGCCACCCGTGGAATACACGAATAAAGAAGAGCGATTCAACCAGACAATAATAACATAACAGGCGCGCAGCCAGATGGGGGGGGGGGAGCGGGGGGGCGGTCGCCCCCCCCCCCCCCCCCCAACAAAAGAGAGAGAGAGAGAGAGAGAGAGAGAGAGAAAGAAGAAAGGAAGAGGACGTAGGAAGAAAAAGGATTAAGAGTCGACAACGGTACAACGAATCGTATTCCCCCCCCCCCCCGAAAAAAAAAGAGAGAGAGAGAGAGAGAAAGAAGAAAGGGAGAGGACGTAGGAAGAAAAAGGATTAAGAGTCGAGAACGGTACAAAGAATCGTCTTCTTTCTCTAATAATTTAATGAAACGTCACAGCTTCCGCGCTTCGCGCGGAAGGGTGGCAAACTGAATTTAGACAATGATTAACAGTCGAGAATAATACAACGAATCGTCTTCTTTCTTTAATAATTTGATGAAACGTCAAGGCTTCCGCGCTTCGCGCGGGAGGGGCGGGGAAACACTGAATTCAGATAAAGATTAAGAGTCGAGAACGGTACAAAGAATCGTCTTCTTTCTCTAATAATTTAATGAAACGTCGAAGCTTTCGCGCTTCGCAAGGGAGGGTGGAAACTCCCTTCCTCCCCCCCCCCTCCTCCCTGCACCCACACCCCTATGGAGCGCGCTACGCGCTTTGTAAGAGATTCGCACGCTTCGCGTGCTCACTCCCGCCCCCCTAAAACAAAATCCTGGCTACGCGCTTGTAACATAATGCAAGCAATATTTACGTACGTGTGAAAAATAGCCTTTATTGTGCGAAATGCACATACCACTTGTAACACTTGTAGAAGTTATCTGTCCACAAAACCAACTAACCAATCAACCACTATTTTACTTAGGGAATGTTGTGGATGTCATATTAAAGGTAATACAAAGTTTTGGTTTGGGGTCGTGAATTTGGTTCAAATGAACATATTGGAAGCATATGCGATTCTACAATATTCACTGATCGTTGTCGCGGTTGAAATCGACTCTAAAGTTATGAAATTGTAAATAATAAACACTTTATGTTGTATAGCTCCCTCTCAAGGTCAATATATTAATTAAACTGTAAACTAGGCGTTGTGGCGTGCGCCTGTAATCCAGCTAAAAAGTGGAAGTTACAAACTGATTCAGCCGAGGACGCAGGTTCGAAATTGAGTCACGTCTTTCGGATGGTGACGTTTAAAGGTCGGTCCCAGACGTAAATAATCATATCTGATTGATACACGTCTGCAAAAACCCAATACACACACACACACACACACTGTAAAACAATGTTTCTTGACTAAAATCGGCCGATTAGATATTCCCGTTCGGAAATTATATACCACAACTACATATTCTGAGATTTTCATGGTCGCAGCTACCATTGTACGGCAGTAGGAGCTATTTGAAATTTATCAACATTTACCGGGAGCACCGGTTAATCCTTATATTCAATTTTTCTCGAAATCAAAAGTGTTTAAGGGGCTAAAATTTCTAGTGATTTTAATACATCCACAAGGGCATCGACATATATCAAAATAGTAAAGAATCACTATCCACCCATTTTTCAAAATGTCCCAAAACTTTGTAATACCTTTAAAGGGTTGTGGATAATAGTATTTCTTATGGTTCTGCAACTTCCGCCCTCGTTTCGATATTCTACTTTATATATTTTTCCGATCTGTTTTCATCATGACGTCTTTTTTGTTTAAAGATCCGATGGTACCCTCCCCCCCCCCCCCCATCCATCCGACGCAGTCTATTACTGAGTCAGAAGAGGCCATGGCTGCTTTGAAAATCGTCATGATATCCAAGAGTAATATCATCATTTTCATTTGCCTATTAATCAATCAATAATAATGATTGTTTTTTAATCTTTTTTCTTGCCCCCAGCCCCATCAGATTTATCAATTCTCCACTGACGGAGGAGTAGATACCATATGATTTAAGACAGTAATGTGATGACTAGTGGTGTCGCGAGAGCATTTTGAATAATGCGGAAGGGGGGTCCGACCGAATTTGCGGAACAGCGACAAAAATGAAAAAAGGGGCGATGTCGTTAATACTGTGGTATGCCGACAGCCATTACAAAATTCGAATTCGCCGCCAGAAATGTTTAATTAGGGGTGTAGTGGGGAGGGGTGGTATAACTCCAGCAGACCCCTGATGAAGAATTATTCAATACCTTATCGCCGAACTCATTGAAACAAAAATCGGCATAAGCCTGAAAGTAGAGGACCATCATCTCATTTTCCCATCCACCGAGTTCTTCTAACATCTGAGGAAGATCGAAGTGATAGAGGGTAACAGCGGGTTGGATACTAGCTTCTAGGAGGGCATCAATCAGACGGTGGTAGTACTGCACCCCTGCGGGATTCACCTGTATTGGAAAAAAGTATGACATCATTAAGGTATGATGCATGAGCTAGGGTTAAGCTGGAAATCTTTGGCAAGCTACTTCTTACTCTTTTGTGGCCATTCTCGACCCCAGGTGTAGCGAAGAGGTACTTGGCAGGATTTATTCTAGATGCTTTCGAATCTAACTTCTTTGTAATCATTCTAAAGTCCTTTGGAGGATAGAGGATAACAGAGGGTTGGATACCAACGTCATCGACGCAACCCCGCGGGATTCATATATTGGTCTGTTGTTAGAGATTATTGTCGACATTGATGTGTATATAACACGAGAAAATTGCGCTTGAAAAATGATTTCGAACAACGATTTAGGTTTTAGGTACGGAATCACCTCAAAGCAATGACAAGAATGTGTATAGATTTAAAAAAGAGCATATTATTGTATTTTGTCTCACATCTTCCTTTCATTGATTTTGATCTGATTTATTTATATTCACAATTTTATTTCTTTAAATACTTATTTCTGTCTCGTTTAATGGCTTATATTTGTTATACAAAATTCTTTGTAGTTTCACAATTCTCTTTTAGGTTTTAGGTACGGAATCACCTCAAAGCGATAACAAGAATGTGTATAGATTTAAAAAAGAGCATATTATTGTATTTTGTCTCACATCTTCCTTTCATTGATTTTGATCTGATTTATTTATATTCACAATTTTATTTCTTTAAATACTTATTTCTGTCTCGTTTAATGGCTTATATTTGTTATACAAAATTCTTTGTAGTTTCACAATTCTCTTTTAGGTTTTAGGTACGGAATCACCTCAAAGCAATAACAAGAATGTGTATAGATTTAAAAAAGAGCATATTATTGTATTTTGTCTCACATCTTCCTTTCATTGATTTTGATCTGATTTATTTATATTCACAATTTTATTTCTTTAAATACTTATTTCTGTCTCGTTTTATGGCTTATATTTGTTATACAAAATTCTTTGTAGTTTCACAATTCTCTTTTGTGAGAAAAAATTGTGTGTTCAGTTTATATCCTTTCGGAGCGGCTCCTAAGATCATTCGATATTTTGACCCTCATTAAGAGGGGCTACATAACGAAAATCAGGACAGTGAAAATGGACATAATAATATTAATAATTATAACAATAATAATAATATTGCATGAAGCACCTGTTCATTAGATACAAAACGCATAAAATTAATGAGAAAACAAACAAACTAAGAGAACAAAAAACATTATCATACAAAAAAACAAGGAGTATCACAACAATTTAGAAAAGATGTGATTTTAGACACCTCTTGAAAGTTTTGAGAGTATGGCAGTTCTTCTGTACTGGAGTGGGGGGTAAGAAGTTCCGGGTTTGGGGGGCAATTACTGAAATGCCCTATATCACCTATCTGTTTACTGGTTCGAGGGACGGTAATTGTAATATTAGTGACTGATCGTGTAAGCTTGAAACCTGACTTCGATTTAATCTAGCCGTTTAGATAGAGGATGGGTAGGGGTGTGAGTAGGGGTAGGGCGGGGTGTGCTTACCTGATGGGTAAACCCAGTCGGGAATATTCTTGACCAGGAGAGAGAGAATCGATAGTGCGTCAGACCGAGCTCCTTGACCATTTCGACGTCGCGTTCAACGTTATGATAGCTGTCGCAGGCGACGTCGCCATTCTGGTTGTCATATGTCTTTCCAGGGATGTGAGTGAAAGCGTCCCAGATATTTGGTCCTGTGGTGAGGGGTGTAAATTCAATTCAATGCAATTCCTAATAATTTTATTTCCATAACTCAGTCACAACATGAAACAAAAAATGATAAGTAAATACATAATCAAATACAAAAATAGGTAAACGAATAAATAGATAAATAAATAAGTGATAAATAAATAAATATTGAACAATTCATACACAAAAAAGGAAAATAATTTCTAGGTGACAGATATTACAATGCACACATTTTTATATCTTATTAAAAACATACACAAACCCAAAACCGTTTTATAGCATTAAGCATATAAACGCTAAAATCCCTGGGTCCCGTCTTGTAAAGAGTTGCTCCAATCAATAGCATGTTCGCAGTCTCCTATCTCTTATAGTTGCGAATGATATCAACTCTTTATGAGACGGGGCCCTGGGCTAGTATCATATTACATCAAATTTGACTACAATGTAAAGTTTAGATATAAAATATTTCAGTTATCGTCTGGAATGAATGAATCACATCCAATCAGATCCACATCCGCAAATAACTTTATCATGTATTATAATGTTTGAGGAAATTTAGTATTTATGGCAGTTTATCATTTCGTTTTTGAAAATAACAATTTTTATATATATATATATATATATATATATATATATATGTGTGTGTGTGTATTTGCTTATTTATATTTCATTGTCAGAAAAATACTTATTTTACTTTATATTATTATTATCGAAAAACTGTATACTTACATGAATGCAGAAGAAAATCAAATCAAATCAAATGAAATATAACTACCTTTTCCATCCTCATCCCAGGCTCCTTCGATCTGATAGGCTGCCGTAGCGGCACCCCAGATAAATCCCTCGGGGAAAGTTCCGTGGAGAAAGGTGTCGCGTTCGGGATCATTGAAGACATCTTCGAAGACGAACTCCGTCGTCGACGAGGAGATCAAGGTTTGGAATACGACGATCAGGGCGATGAGCATGCCGGGGCGCGCCATGGTTTTCACTTTGATATTTCTAGGTACTGAAGTAGAATTATTGAAACAGAGGTGTTTGAAGGTATATACTGAGAGGGCTACATGCAAACAATCCCTTCTCTCTCTCTCTCTCTCTCTCTCTCTCTCTCTTTCTCTCTCACTCAATCATCCCCCTCTCTCTGCCTTCCTCCCTCTCGCCCTTTCTCTCTCTCTCTCTACATGCTCTGTGCCTCTGTCTCTTTCTCTCTCTCTTTCTTTCTCTACCACATTTTCCGTTTCATTCTCTCATGACTGTAACTACATTTTCTCCACATAAGAAACTTAATCAAAGCTATTCTTCACGGTAATGCACATAAATGAGAATTTGATAAATTTAGCTGGTATTGGAGCCCATAAAGTTCCAACTCGCGACACAAGGTAATGAAACAATGTCATTGTTTTTTTTCGATGGGTATGTTCTTTTTTCGAGTAAAAATGGCACTAAAAGTACTCGTATCATTTTCTGGATAGGGCGTTTTGATTGTACGGCTGTTTTCTTGAGGCATGTCGTTTTCAAAATGTGTTACTCTCCCAACCGTAGACATGCTTGGAGCAGGGAACAAATTGCAGTTTCCCATAAAATTCAGTTGTGTTGACAAAGGGATTATTGCTCTCGTCAACACAGCTGATTGTATATGCAAATGTATCGCTGCTGCAATGTTTGTAACAGTAGTAAATTTGGAAACGACAATGCCTAACGAAAATAGTAGTGGAATCAAAACGCGTTACCCAAAGTGTTATGATCTTGGCATTTTTAAGATCTCTGATTTTGTGGTATCCATCCTAAGATTAATGTGTTTTTTGGGTATATATATGACTCGAGCGCATGCAAATATTTGCGATTTTGTCAATGATGCCCCCACCCCCCCCCCCCCCAAAAAAAAAGATCTAACCGAGCATGCAGACTTCAAATATGCTAGTGCTTACCATGCGTACGCTTCTGAAACTGAACATTTTTCTTCTTTCTCTTGATCTCCCCTCGATATTCTTTTTCCCCCTCTTGTTCTCATTTAAATTCTAACGAGTTTTCTTTATTTCTCACTTCTGTATCAATTCCTCCCCTCCCCCCCCCCCCCCTCTCTCTCTCTCTCTCTCTCTCTCTCTCTCTCCCTCACAACCCCCATCTCTGTACCGTTTCGTTTCATTTTTCATTTATTATCAAATGTTTGAGTTCTTCTAGTTTTAACAATAAGATTATCCACAATATCCCATTTCCCCTCGCTGACACACACACACAAAGTTCTTCCAAAATTCCCAAGCTTCCAATGGCTCGCTTTTACACTGAAATGTATATTCAATCAACAATGCAATCATTTTCAACGAATGGTTCGACAAGGAACAAAATACTTGTTGAAATCAATACAAGCTAGTTAAGCCATGCAATATATTCTCCTAAAGTCATACAAATTATGCTTGAATAAGTGAAGAACTTACCTATCTGCACAGCAACGTGGAAGAGGTTGTCGAAAACTGCATGTGTGATCTATAGACCCAGGTACTTCGTATACGTGAAAATGCTCTTCAGGTATATAGTCTGTACAATCTGCAAATTTTGTTTGTTTGATATCTCTACCTGACTCACAGATTTAAAATGTTTTTGTAAATAAAGACCAGATTTGAAACCTTAGCCGATAGCACAATACAAATAGACTTTGATCTCTGCGTACACCACATGTATAACCACATACTGAATTGTTTAGATTACTTTATGTACGACTGATAAGGCAGCCGGGATCCATTAAATGCAAATATGATTTTGTCTTCAGAGTATTTGACTTAATTCGTTATCTATACAAAAATAATTAATAAATAAGCTGACATATAATATATGACAATGACGGGTCGGCAAGACATTTTTATAATTAAGAAGCGCATATCTGGGAATGTCGGTGAATGTCTTTGAATCAATCGACTAGATCTATTCTTGAGTATCTATTTTTTTTACGAATCTCCGTATGCTCACGTCTCGATTGCGGCGTGGAATCTGTTTAGTTTAGAAGGCCACGTTAATATTATTAGATTGAAAAGCAACCACTCATTTTCCTTTTCTATCTTTTTTTCTTTTTTGCCTTTTACCATTTCCTCCCATTTTCCTCTTGCTTTAATTTTGTTCCCAAAACTCAAAACTTCTTTATTGTTACATACTTTTTAATTCATTGATTTTCTATGTATACTTTGTTTTCAAGACGTATTGTACCTGAGGCCTCTGAAGAACTTTTACTTCAACAAGCTCTGCTTCTAGTTAGTTCCTCTTTTTTTCTTGACATTACTATTATATTTGTCTTGTTTAATTGCATATTTTGTGTAATATACTTATTTATTATACTGTTTTTTTGCATGATGAATGAAATCATTTGAATCTTGAGTCTTGTATCTTAATAATAAACGGTGGAAATGCATCGCAATTGAGTGCAGCAAACGAATCTTGCGTATTCACTGATATCCGTGTTAATATACTCAAATGAGAAGCGTTATATTCTATGAAAGAAAAGAAAAATATTTTTTTTTTTTAAACCGCGGCTCACCATCTCATAGGCTGAAAGAGAAGGTTGAGTTCTGGAAAGAGGTGAACAATAATTTATGAGTGTTATCATTGTTATTATTCAAGTGTGGAAGAACACCAGATTTAAAATGTTCCCTGAAAAGCATGTCTCTTCAAATGCCTTAATATTCTAAATATGGCATGTAACAGCATAACAATCGGGACAGATTTTTACGCCACATGTTCGTGTAATCCCATAATTATGCATCTTTCTGTGTACAGTGCTGGTAACTTATCCAAGACTAGGCTAAATTTCTTATCATTTATATGATTCCAGAAAGTTGCAATACGCACCAATACTTATATGCTAGATGATCAACGTTTTCTGATTGATTCCACAGTGTTTCTTTCACAATGCAATCGCATGACCAGAACCCAACTTTATATTTAAGGCTGATCCTGCTCCCCCCCCACCCCCAAGATGCTAGTGCCCCCTCGGAGGCTGGATACACGCCAAACCACTTGTCATAGTCGTGTTTTTTTATTTGAAATCTGAACACAATGTGAAAATGAAACTTTCCTGAAATTTAATCCAATAGAAATCACTTTCGATTGTAACAAAATGTAACTGCTCTTTTGATTATATCATCTTGTGAATGCAGGAGGTTTTCCCTGTTTCTAAAGTTGTGTTACCATTAATTGTGTCAGTTGAGTGAAACTGAAATGTTAATGATGATTCAAACAGGATATGAAATAAAAAGATACTGAATGAAAAGCACCCCCCCCCCCTCATCCAAATAAAAAGTGTCCACATTATGAGTAATGAATTCTGACACCTTTAAAGGCATATAACTTCCCCTTTTGTTTTCATTTAAACGAGAAGTTGTATTTATAAAAGCAGCACAACGATAGAAACAAATTGGTGAGAGTTTGAGAAAATATCCGATGAAAAGTAGGAAAAAGACGATTTTATGAAGTTGTCATCAGTGAAACATAAATTGGCAACAATGTGACGTTTCTTGCAAGCTCCTCTCCAATAGGCGCTGTAGTTTGTACATTATTCTCATAAACTTTCATTTTCTTGGTTATTGATGACGAAGAAGTTTTTTTCTACATGAGTTGTATAGAAACATATTTGCAATACTTGTATTCAGGGTGCGCGTGTGATTGATCATTTTCTTGTTTTATATGTTTGGTACAGATTAAATGGGAGGGAACATCGCAAGATGCGTCACAGAGTCGCAATTTGTGTTTTTTCGATCGCAACCTCAAAAATTCATAACCATATAGCTCCGATTAGTCTCATTTGACAACGCCCCCTATCGTCAGAGTCCAGCCCCTAACATGTTAGCATATGGACTTTTACTTTAAAAAATCGTTAAAAATTAATTTTTTGTTTAAACGAAAATCACATCCACCCCGACGTACATTGACACTAGCTCTTTCATTGGAACCCTCATGTCCTATTGACTTTTGAAAGTTCACCCACCGTAATTTGGTCAAAATAGGTCGCTAGCTCGCCATTGCCTATATAACACATGTGTAACAAGTCGAACTTTGGACGCAATTTACCACGCGATTGTAAGATTATAGGTCAAGCACACGAAGGATAAGAAGCATGAATTGTCATGGATCAGTTCTGATCGGTTTATTATGTCCATTTCAACCAACCCCCCACCGTAATTTTTCCATTTAGTATAAGGCAAGCATTTTGCCGAGGTAAGCAAAAACATGAATATTCATGATCGCCATGGACTATTCGATTATTTACATCAAACTCCCCTACTTTAAGTCAAGTATTTCATTGTATTATGTAGTTTGGTAGGTTTATTTTACTAACTGTTTAATTATCAGATATCAATGATAGTTTAAAGATATGGAAAATGTTCTTGTATTTGATATTTAGCGAAGCAATCTCACATACAAATTCACTACCAAGTGTCGTCTAATCCGCCAATTGCCGTCTGCTATATACGTCCAGCGAGCGAAAATGAGACAACCGGAGCTATATGTTTGCCATTATTAAAACCTAGTTTGATATCAGGGTAGATTTCTCCTTGAAATCGTGATCAGCACATTTGAACGTTAATCAAGTTTGAAATGCAATGTCTGTGAAATAAAAATCATTTTCATGGTTCACTTAGTAAATGAGACAAATACAAAACGATATTTCCTCGTTAAGGAGAAGAAGTGGCCTCGTCTAATTGTTGTTTTAATAACCCCTCCACGTGTTAAGTTGCGATGAAGGTTATTTCAGTTTTTATAAAATTGGCACAATTATGAAAATGGATAAGTAATTTCAAAAGAAAGAAAAACCTTCATGTCATTACAAATTGATTTATGGTTACAAAATGCACTTTTTCTGATTTAGTTTCGTTTGATACACTCATTAAAATAGTGAACAAAACACGCGAAAGTAATTAATATAAGAAACGAACTTTAATTGTACTACACATCATTTTAGTACATGTATTGTATGTATTATAAATACATTCTACCTTGTTTTATAAGTGTAAAATGTAGAATTATTTGCGTGAAAATTTATTATGTATACATTGTAACAGTCTTGGTTAATACGTTTATGTTCTTACTATTAAAACACCAAACTTCTAGTTAGTTTCTCTTTTCTCTTGCCATTACTATTATATTTGTCTTGTTTCATTGTATATTTTGTATAAAATACTTATTCATTGTATTATATTTTTGCATGATAAATAAAATCATTTGAATCTTGAATCTTGGATCCTAATAATCTTACGATGGGGTGTAGGGTTGGGATGATTACATGAACTATACCGGATACCCTCCTTAAAGTGACTTGATAACATTGTTGAAGGTTGATGAAAAAAATGCTTAATTTGTGTATAAAATGTTACTTACTATATATTCCTTGTACTGTACTAACCCTCTGACATGCAAAAAATCCTGAAAAATTCTCAAACCACGAAAATATCTATGGTTTTCTTTGAAGGCGTCGATGTAAGACACCCTCTAACAGTGATTTACAGTAAATTCTCCCAACCATTTTTGAATTTTCCCAACCGTTTTTCCGTGAAAAAAGGCATAAAACAGGCTATAAAAAATCTATCAACAATTAAATGTCTGGAATGAAATGTAGAGCCATCTTATTGCTTTGTGAGATTTCCATTTACCTAAAATGTAATTAAATTGTAATAATATAGTTGGGAGAATTAAGGAATCGATCAGATCAGTTTTTCCCAATTTGTACCATGAATAATGGTCCGTTTTCACTCAATTTTCAGATTATCTTTAATAATATTGTACATCTAGCATTGAGGTCAGTACCTTAGCACCACTATCTCTCATCTGAACAATGTTACCAAGTCCCTTTAATACACTGGTCAGGTCTGTATTATGTGGTAGGACAGTGTTTCATCTAGGGTTTTATGGCCCGGGGGTGTTAGTAGGGTTGGGGTCGTTACAGGACCTATACATGCTCCCTAATGCACTGGTTATCCGAGAGGGCGCTGTCATCACTTGGCATGCCAATGGGAGAGAGATTGAAGACATCAAGCTTCTGTTTTCTCCCGGTGCTGACATAACCGATATAGCCGGTTGTCTCTGCAGTATACCTTCATAGTCCGACCGAAGAAAATTCGCGCAGAAATTAGGGCGCTACCTGTTCACTGTTCATGTATTCCTGTTCATGCTTCATGGGGATCTGGCACTTCTCCGAATTATTGGCGCTATTTTCGTAGATTACGATAGGGATCCCTTCCACATCAGGTGATTGTTCTTTTGGCTGTTTGGGGTTCATTGGAATGTAGTGGTGGTCTTGACTATATTGGTTAGACGTTTTCAGCTTGACATCCTGATGAGGGTTTAGGTATATATCTTCTTTATCCTCTAGGGCGTCTAGGCCCGCGTAATCCACGTAGCCGGTCGTCTCTGCGGTGCCATCATAGTCTGACCGAAGACAATCCGCGTATAAATGAGGGCGCTGTTCACTGTTCATGTATTCATGTTCATGCTTCATGGGGATCTGGCACTTTTCCGAATTATTGACACTATTTTCGTAGATTACGATAGGGATCCCTTCCAC